GCACGAAGTGCCCACGATCACTTGTTAATACTAAATTCTTCAACTACTGTAGGTGACCTGAACAGATATTCTAACTAGTAACATTGTACAGTACATTAATGTTGTTATAATAATGGAATACCAGAAATATATTCAGTTCATGACCTGTCTGATAAAATCCAGAATATTAATAAGATAGCCTTGCCATTTTTACTGATCTGAGACTGTACTATAACAAATTTCTAACAACTGGGTGGTTGGTGTAGTATTAGCCTTGGCCTCTGCAGTTACAATGATTTACTGTCTAGAGTCTAGAGTCTAGACTGTACAAGACCTATATCTTTACAAGACTGAGGTGTGTAAGGTCAATAGAGAGTGTAGATGAGATACTCCAGAAGTAAGGCGAGAAAGCCGAGTCCTTACTCAAGCATCAGAAGGTAGAAGGTGACTTGCAGGTGGTGGAGGCCCAGCACCACCTGTCCGTCGTCCTCCTGGAGGAGAAATGCAAAATTGATATAACGACAAAACTAGCCTCAATATATTATGATGAACATGGTTAGCAAATATTCGAAAAGACACACATTACAATGTTTACCAGGTATGAGTTGTGACAATTGCCAAGTGATACAAATATGTTATCATATTGCCACGTAAATGTGAAGGATAGAAGATATAACAAAAAGTGGTAATGTGTTGTTGTGTGAAGGATGAGCGAGAAGACTCAGTGTGTTAGAGGAACAATGTGTGCGATTTTTACTGTACAATATGTTCAAGTTTCCCTTGGGGCGTCACACCACAATTGCATTACTTGATAAATAACGTTATAGTCATTGTCTTGGTTCTTCCCGGCCTCTTCCTCCCGCTGTTGTCTTCTGGTGTTTCTCACGCGGGTGAAGATGACGTCATCCATCCAGAAGGTGATTAGGCCAGCCTCCAGCAACCGTTGAATGGCCAGATCCAAACGACGTAGGAAGGGCGCCCCTTTCCTGTCCGAAATTTTCCAAATATAAACTATTATTGAGTATGGTTTCGCTCAAGTAGTAAATATATTTTGTTGTTTTATAACATATACTGTACTTGTAGTATTCTCTCTCTAAATAAAAAAAAATAAGTTGGGAACAAAGCACCAGCATACAGGAGGTATGTGACACCTACCTTGGTCCCTGTATACAGACAAGGCTCTATTAGGTCAGGTCATTGTGGGAACAGAAAAGTATGAGATCAGGTCAGATGTGACATCACAAATGGTCAGTGTGTATGTCGAAGCCGAAGCCGGTGCCGAAGCCAAAGCCAACCCCCTAAAAGAAAACTGGCTTCCAGAAGCCGTAGCTGAAGTTGGCTTCAGCCCCATGTTGGGTGTACAGTACTCGACTTCATATCACGGTGACTCGTCAGTTTTCGTAGAGGACGTCAGTTATATTGAACATTTATTTATCTACAGCTGATGACTTGTTTTTCCTGCTATCTCTGTCAGGTGACATGTTGAGGCTATGATGCCCCATCCTGATCGCTTGTTTCGTTAAAATCATCCAGTCTTACACGTCTTCCTTCTACTGTTGTTTCACCATTATTTACCTGATCCTCTCTGTGTGATATATGTTAATCTCGTTTATTTTTTCCCCATGAAAAGCAATAGTTTTCATCGTTCCACCGAGATACACTCTCCTGTCCAACCCTGAGCGCTCAACAATATTTTCTCACTGTAATGTTGTTTTCTCTGATAACCCCCCCCCCCCCAATAAGTTAAGTGGCTGGTAACCTTGAAACAACTTGCGTTTTTTGTTTAGCTGCTCCGCTCTAAAACACAAAGTCTGCTAAATATAGTATTCATATAATATAAAAGGTGTCTTTTACTTTAAGAATGATATCAAATATAATAATAATAATAATAATAATAATAATAATAATAATAATAATAATAATGATAATAATAATAATAATGATAATAATAATAATAATGATAATAATAATAATAATAATAATAATAATAATAATAATAATAATAATAATAATAATAATAATGCACACATCCATAATCACAGCGCACCTCCCCACCTCCGTCACATCACAAGCTCAGTAATACCAAAACCCTTTTTTGTGCTAGAACAGTATTACATAATTACCTTATTGCAATAAATTAGAAAATCCGGTATGTTTGGACCAAATACAGTATCCATACGAAACGAAAAACTAGGTAGTGATTTCACATTTGATAGCAATTGGCTCAGCCAATGTCCGTAGTCAGGTCATAGGGTAAGATAACCCAACCTTCTCACCTGGTTACAAATCTTCTTAATCACAAAATTATCCAGTTTGTACATACCATTACTCAATTTCATGTTGACAGATTCGGGACTGGATTGTATAATGTTCCTACTGACAATTGAATTACAAGGTAATATTGAGGAGGCATTATCCCAGTCAATGCAATGCTTATTATCTCTCATATGAATGAACAGAGCATTGGATTCGTGGGCTGTCCTACCACTATATTTATGCTGTTTAAGTCTAGTTATAAGATCTTTACCCGTCTGGCCTAAGTAGAACATATTACATTCCTTGCAAGGAACCTTGTAAATGCAGCCGCCTGCATTGTTGGGGGAGTTCTTAATTTACATTTGTTTTACAGTGCATGAGTTTTTAAATGCCACATTAACGTTTCAGGTTTTCATTTCTATAGGAAATTGAGAGAAATTTTTGTTAAATGGTAATACAGTACTAAGAGATTCTTATTGTCATGGGTGGGCTTAAGATCGGTTCTATAAAAAGATTTCTTGGTAATGTTAAGGCAATTGTCTATAAAAGACCTAGGGTACTTAAGGTTCAAGCCAATATTATAGATATATTTATACTCCTCATCAATGAATTCCGGACTGCATATTCTTAAAGCACGTAAAAACATTGAAGAAAATACTGACTGTTTGTTCTATTATGGTGGGCAGAATAATAATGAATGTATGAACACACATTAGTAGGTTTCCTGTAAATCTGAACTTAAAGGTGTTACCTATTCTGTGGATCAGACAGTCGAGGAATGGTAATTTGCAGTCATTCTCTAATTCCACAGTGAATTTGATTGAGGGGGCTACGTTGTTAAGTTGTGGTAGAAAAGCTTTTAGGTCATCATTACATGGTCAAAGACATATTACATCATCTACATGTCTAAACCAGACTGCTGAAGGTGATAAAATATTACTTAATAGATTCTTCTCAAAGATATCCATATATAAGTTGCTTAATACTGACGAAAGCAGATTACCCATTGCCATTGAGTTCGATGAAGTCATCTTTCGAGACGAGCAATGAAATATTATCCAGGGAATCTGTGAGGAACTCCAGTAAATCATCAACTGGGACCTTTGTAAAGAGTGATATTACATCAAAACTGACCAGTTTAAAATCATAATTAATGTGTAAGTTATTGAGTTTATCAACCAGATTCATAATATTCTTAATATTAGAGTTAGAAATTTGCCAACTAGGGGATTTAGTAAAGAAACTAACCATTTAGATAACTTATAAGTGATTGACCCAACTGAGCTAATGATGGGTCTTGCTGGGTTATTAGGCTTGTGAGTCTTAATTAGACCGTACATGTATGGCATTGGATGGGACGTTGAAGTAAAATGTTTAATGAGATTATCTCTACCTCTCACTAGAGACTTAAGTTTTTTGTTAAACTGTGTGTTAACTGTGTTGAGAGGATTATTTATGAGCTTAGAATATGTTGCTACAACAAATAAAAGGTCATTCATTTTATAAAAATAATCATCTTTGTTTAAAATAACTAATGTGTTGGCTTTATCTGCTTCTCTACAAGCTGTCCTGACTGTCTCCTTTCGTTACTGAGTACTCCTCTTCGATGATCACGGCCCACAAATTGAAAATACGTTTGAAGTTTCTACTGACATGCCTTAGTGAAAAAGTCATGCCAAAATCAATCCTCCCACAACGTGTCCTGCAGATGTCTGATCGCCCCTTTGATGATTTCCAAGAAATCATCCTAAATAAACACTTTGAAATAAAGAATTTTAGGTGGATGAAGCTTTCCGTATTGAAAGACAGAAAAAGCATGCCTTTAATATGACCATACCGAGTGATTGGAAAAAGTTCATGTTGGATTACTGTTTCGATAACCTGAGATGTGAACGTTCTGATCTTCAAGCTAAGCTAGACCACAAATTGGCACTCCTTATTAGAAATAGTGATTGGACTAAGGATGCCAATCACAACTATGTAGTGAATCTCTCCTCTAAACAACTAGACAATGGTACCTTGTGTGCCCTCGGTTATGGTTTAAGATTTGATGGCTCTACCAAGAGAGTAGACAGTGTTGATATAGCCAGAGCATTTGGCAATTTAGAGAAATTCAGTAATTTGACAAATGAAGAAGTGAACATGTGTAAAGGTATTGTGTGTGCATCTATATCTAAGCCTTGTGTTCCAAATTGTCCAGAAAGATTCGCCAAAGCAATCCAAGCCCTTAAGAAAAATAAGGATCCACATGTTACTAAAGCAGATAAAGCCAACACAGTAGTAATATCACTACAATATACTATACATCGAAACCTCAACGTCACTTTGACACTTGTCACGAGGGTGGCGTTGATAAAGCTACAACACAAGCAAAGGTCGGCGTACACATTCTTGTCTGCCTGATGTAAGATACATCAACGCTAATATCCTTTTCTTTCGAGAGTGCTTTTATTATTAGCTCAAAAATCAGTTTGTTCAATAATGTTATATAGCAAACACCTAACTTGAACAATTGTATGTTATATCATATATGACCACATTAACTGTTATGTTTAAACAAATTTATGTTAAAGATGCATATCACGGTGATGCCTCTGACCCTCACCAAGTCTTAGGTGCGGTTCACTAGAGGTGAGCTGAAGCAACAAAAAGTGTTAGTAAGATGTCTCAAGAATAATACCAAACATTGAAACAAAAAGGGACAACAATCACAGTACGATAAGTGTTACTCAAGTACCTGTATATATTTACGGGCAGCCGGGCACCCTGGCAATTGAGCAATGAGAGATCAGTGCATACTGTACTGTACGCTGAGGTGAGACATAGGTTTAGTATTTTATTTGTTTCTTAATTCGTCGTCTTTTGTTTTCTGCGTCGGTTCTAATGGGATGAAAGGTGGGAATAAAGACTGCCAAAAATATTCCCTGCGACAAAGAAGTATAATTAAATCTGACAATGTCGTTGGCATATGTGAAAGCCAAGGTAGTTTTCAGTATATTTTTGTACAAAACAAATTTGCCAGATCTTTAGTTAGTGGCAAACTGAACAGTGTTCATCTTAAGCAGCAGAAGGTAAACAACACATTATTTGGTGAGAGCGATCATGAGTGCTGTATACTTTTACTGTCAAGAAAGTGAATCCCCAATTTACTTTGGTCATGGTTCGCTTCATAATGACACCACCTTACCTAACTTCATGGATCATCTACTGAGGTCATAGGATAGATAGAAGCACATTTACAGGACAAAAGCAAGTTTTATTGTTCACCCAACTCTGCTTCCACAGTTAAAACCACTTAAAACTCAAATTAATAACAAACCAGATGCCCAATCCGTGGCTAGGAGTACGACAATGCCATTGAGGCATCAAGTGACACATCCAGCCTGTTCTGGCTCTTTATTTCACGTGTAGAAAGCAGGAAAAATTGAACTTGCACAAGTATATCATTGACAACGGACGAGTTGACGGTTCTGGGTAAACACAAGAAATACCCTCTGCCACGTTCGTAGAGTGATACGGTATATATAATTTGTAATAAAAGTTTACAGTCCTGCTATAATAGTCGAGATAAGTTAATTTCTCTAGAAACAGGGCCCTCATTTGCCATGACGTCATCATCTTCCCTGCAGACGACGTTCTCCAGCAAACTCAGTCGGTGGTAGTAGAAAAGATGGCTTCTTCCGACCCCAAATGCCACGTTCAGGTAAGTTTTAAGGGTGTTTTTTTATGGTCTAAGTCACGTACATTTCGTAAGTGAAGAAATGTGCCGTGAAGAGCCGCTTCAAACATAGGTTGGATGAATATATGAGCTATAGGGGTTGGGTGTAACTAGAACTGCCCAGTATGGACCAATAGGCCCGCTGCAGTTTCCTCCATTCTTATGTTCTTATGGACATAAAAAACTCTTTTTTTTTCAGTGCATTTACAGAGTAAATCAGTACTAGATGGAGATACGAGTCAATTTAGAAGTAATGACATTGTCTGGACTTTGTTTTGAGAATGCCTAATGCGAGATAAGCATGACAACATAGTGCTGTTATTGTTTTGATGATTCACTAATGAACTACTAGGATATATCATCATTTATATTAATTGGTGGGTAAGATTGTACTTTAACTTCCATTAGTATTTGGATGCTTAGATTCGAGATAGGCTATATTGGGAAATTTTAAGTTTTGGTCATCCTTGTACTTGGACATGCAGACTATGATTTTCTGATGGTTTGCGATGTGTTATGAACGATTTAGACCTTCATTTCTATCGGAAATCACTAGTTTTGAGTTCTCCCCCCCCCCCCTTTACCGGTGTATGTTAAGCTAATCTTATAACTTATAATATAATTTATCATATCTTAACCTAAACTAACCTAACCTAACCTGTGACCTGTATTTTCTTATACTATCGAAAAATGTTTTGCGACAGAAATCCCGTAGAGAGATGACAAGTGATCGTGGGCACTTCGTGCCCCGTGGCGAATCCGGTGGTACAGTTTACCAAAGCGTGAAAGTTCGAACGCTCGTGCTTGGCTAGCGCGCAAGCGCCGGAAGGCTGGCTGGCCTACAGCGACATCGTTATCCAGCGTAAATAAAATGGTTAATTAATGCCTTCCTAAAGAAACCTTCGACATGCGATTTTTCCACCAAGTTTGATGAAAAACGATTGTGCCGTTTCGGCTGCCCAGATCAGACACACACACACACACACACACACACACACGGCTATTCCTATAGTATATGAGATAAACATGGTCGTGGTTGTTATAATCATGGTCGCTTTCGTGCAACGCCTCGAAGCAGCCAAGTGGAGGTGTCAGGAACCAACTGCCGTGTGTCACATAGGCCTATGAAAATTAAATGCACTTTGTCTAATTAATGTGTACACTGTTGACGAAGTTAAAAGCCAGCTATAAAATTAACAAAAGTTATCTTGGATAGTTTTCCATTTCAAAGTATGTTACGTGTGTCCTTAGGAAATAATCAAAATATGAAAGTGAATGGCGTCATGCGGTCACGAATTAATAACATGATTACCGGAAAACCGTAGAGGACGTTCGTATCCGGAATTAACTAACGTAAATAAATATTACAATAGTGATAGTCTTTCCCTAAAAGGAAATAGAGGATAATCAGGCATAATTTAAGCTTTAAAAATTAAGTAGTCCTTTAGAGAGGCAGGTGTGCCTGGAAGAATGCGCTGGTCACTCTTAGCTTTTCACTTGGAGAAAGCAGACAGGTCGTGCCTCGCTCGTCGACAGAAAACGTCCACGTGGCTTCAAAATCTTGTAGGTGCTTTCAACTGTGGTCACAAGTAAGTCCAGTTCGATTGCAGTCATTGTTTAGATAGGGCGGGGAAGAATTTAGCAGTAGTTAATAAAACTCCAATTTCAGGAGTGAAGGAACCACTCGAACGGAAGTGCTGTTAGCATAGTGATTGAAGCGGAGGGGACTGATGATAGGCCCGACATGGTCGACCTGGTTTTCACCCGGATCTCCCAGGATAGACAGATGCGTGCAACACGCGCATGTGTAAACCCCGCTGGGACTGGCACCAAGACGACACTACACATCACCACAGCTAAGGGAATTTACTAGAAGGAGGGAAAACTAGATCTCTATTCTAGCTGAAGCAAGGTACACCTAGTTGTATGGTGATCTGACCTAAGTGGGCAGGATTAACACTGTTGCTCTCCCCCTCCTATAAAGTAACTGGGAGAGAGAGTTTGCCCTGGGTGCAGGATGAGTGGAATGAAAGGTTGAGCTCTGGGAGACAGAAATTCCCACGGTGCTACTGAGTATTGTCTGCCCACCGAGTATCGGTGCTGACTCTTCTACTAGGTACCTTCATCTCTTCAACTATGGGTGTATGTTTTTTGTCTAACCAAGTCCTGGTGTAAGGTCGACGACCCTGATGGTTGATCTTACATTCTGGACGTGGGAGTGCCTTTTAAGGGGTTGTTTGGTGCTATGCGTGTAGTACAACTTGGCGATGATGGTGTATTTCTGGGCCAGTGTTGTTGAGCACGGTTACGGTTATGGTGGAGATAGCACACATGACTCATGAACCCAGAAGTAAAGTAATAAGAATAAGTGGATGAGCCGCCCCCTGACGAGCCATGAGTGATTTTCTCGGTTACCACACATATTTTTGTGTTTCATGTATGTGCATGATGATTTGGGTTATTAGTTAAAATCTTTGGTTTTTGTGCAGTATAGCAAATTAAGAACTAATATTCTCTAGTAATTAATATTATTTCGTGGGGTTTGTCCAGACAACTATGCTATGTTATGTGTCCCGAGGAGCTGCTGAGATATGGATCCGTCGGGTTGTGTTCTAATGGGAATGTCAGTGGGTTAAAAATCAGGGAAGCGAGACTCTTGACCTCAACAACTCCTGAGCTGGTGTGAGCTCACATTGGGACCCGATTTAGATTTTTCTATGCTGATGGTAGGAGTGTCTAATAGTGAAAGATGTGTTGAGAAATTAATCCAAATGAATTATTGTGCTATTAATCGTGGCATCTAGCGATGTAGGATATGTTGAGGAATTAATCCAAATGAATTTTTATGTCTTGTGCAATTAATATCTTTTTTATTGCTATTGAGTAATACAAGTGTCATATCATTACCAGTGCGTCTCTTTAACCCCAATCTCAGGAACACCAGTCTAGGTCACGGTAAACACTTTATTAATTTTGTTTGTGCTGGTTAGGTATTCTGAGGGGTCCTTCCACTGCATTGCCATCCATTTAAATAAACCCCAATAGGAATTCCGACCGGTTTCACACACACACACACACACACAGACACACACATATATATATGCAAGTAAATCACTGTAGTTGTGCGTGATCCAGGTATGTGCTGATAACCACAAGGAAAGAAGAAACCTCACCCCTGAAGATGTGAATTACACGAAAGAGCTTGGGAACTTCGTGTTTTCTTCTTTCCTTGTGGTTATCAGCATATATATATATATATATATATATATATATATATATATATATATATATATATATATATATATATATATATATATATATATATGTAACCGGTCGGAATTTACTGGACTTTAATTTCTCACTTGACTTGGGTTTTATTAAAGATTATTAGATGGTATTGGCAGTGGAAGCGCCCCTTAGTGAGAAATCCCGAACCAGCACAAGAGCACTTAACTTTACTAAACAAAACGAATTGTCCGTGACACGTGGAAGGATAGCGTCTGTGACTGGGATGAATGAGACACATTGTAAAATTTACACTTATATTCCCTCCAACACTACGAACACAATCAAATAATGGTACACCAATATGTGCACTTCTTAACCTGAACTTAAATTACTACTCTGGGGAATAAAAGTTATACAAGATGTTGAAATTATTAGAAACTCACGCAATGCCTCATTAGAGGATAATAAGTTTCAAGTATTAAGAAATGTTGCTTGCACACATGAACCAGGCCTTTAGGGCTTTCAACAAAATATCAATCACTGAGAAAATGGTATTAAAAAAAATAAAAAATTAATAACTCTACAATGAATAGGCCTTAAGGGCACTCACAAAAATTATATCCAGCACTGAGAAAATGGTATAAAAATCAGAGCTTATTAACTCCACCCTGAATAGGCCTTCAGGGCACTCAACAAAATTATATTACCCCAACAGATACACACCTCCTAACCTAACTTAAACACTACTCTGGGGAACAAAGGTTATACCGGAGATTGAGATTATAAAGAAATATTAAATGCCCACAGCATACATTAGTAACTGAAAAAATAGTATTAACTACACACAAAAATATTGTCACTATTATTAAGAAGTTACCGAGTCCACCAATACCGGTGAACCATGCTTCCTAACCTAACACACACACAGATTCCACCTGCACTCCGTAGTCCTTTAAGGCACAACCAACCGGCACCCTTAGTTTAAGGCCCAAATCAGCCTTTCAACACCTTGGAAAGTGTACCTCTAAACTCCACTGACTCTTGGCCCCAGTGTGCGGCCCTGTATCACTCAGCTGGCTTCACTTTACCCCCAGTACATCCATGAAGCAGAAGGGAGTGAGCCAATCAGACCTTGTACAGTTGAGAGAAGCTTTAGCTTCCCGTTAGTAAAAGGTTTTCACTAAGCTGCTTGAAGATATGTGGTATTGTGAGCCGAGGTAGAGGAGAGTTGATGACCCCAAACGATCGTCACGTCGTTAGTTGGGCACCTAGACAGCTGGGTTCACTCCAACTCTCACCATACTCAACAGGTGGCTCAAACCAAGGTCATTGGATGTTCATACAGCTGGCTTCACCACTCGTGTCTCATCCCGCCAGTGGACGTTATCATACCGCGTGGGGTCTACAGAACCCTGAAAAACCCTGGCTGTTAGCTATTGTCTCACATCACCGTTTGTTCCTACCGCCCTATCAAGCTTTGTATGAGATTGAATAAAACTTAATTGTTAATACTGATGTTAAATAAACGAAGGAACCAGGTCACGCGATCCGTCTCTCCTGGGTACAGCACAGAGGTGGTCCTTGACCTCTCTCACAGCTCCCCGGCCACCTTGCTCCCTGGTTCACGCTTTCCAGGAGTGACTTATTTATCAGACGATTAAACTTAAATAGGAGGTAAGCAACATTTTCAGACTGGGAAACGATCTATAATTATTTTCAATTTAATAACTGCTATTTAATTTTATGATTCGCGTCCCTATTAACTCGGTAAATTACATTTAATATCGTATAGGCCTAGTTCCACAACCTCTCGCTACATGCGGGGAGAGCGGACTTCCCTCTGTTACGAACCACGCCATCAATTGTCATGATCTACCTACCCAGCACTATGAACCACGCCATCTATTGTCCTGATCTACCTACCCAGCACCACGAACAACGCCATCTAGGGACGAAACCCGAGTATGACTAGTCTTAGTTACCACTCTGGGGTTTCCCTTCTCCATATCCTGGTTGTTGCGTCACCTCCTCCAAGTCTTCCTCATCAGATCCAGATCAAGGAAAGTTCAGTTCACTCTGAGAAGTGACCACAGGATCACCTATCCTGGAACCTACGGCACAGTGACTACCTACTGTCTTCTACAATACTCAGCCTTACTCGTCAGCCATCTCAGCTCCGCACTTAAGTATTTGTAATCATATATTGCCTCCCCAACCTCCACCTTGCTTCAAATTATTGTATGTTGTATAAATATGTATATACTGTTAATGTTTAGGTTAAGTATGGTTAAGGGTAAATTATAGAAAGCTGAATATTTTGTTAAGGAATTTATGGTACTTTATTATACACAACAAAAACTCGCATCCTTTGTCTACCCTTTTATAGTCCGATTGTCTTTGTTTTTTTTGTTGTTGCCTGTTGGGATCTGGGTAGACTTTTAACTATATTCTAAATCCCCAATTCGTAACACCTCAGACGACCTTGAACTCAGCATCGCGAATGGCGCGGCGTTTGAAATTACACTGAAATTTCTGAATATTACAATCGACCCCCCTAAAAAAAAGACAGCACTGTCCTCATGTGCTGAGAAAAACATGCATACAACCCCCCTAAAAATTTTTCTAAGAAAGTGCATCTCACCCCTTTAACGTGCTAAACGCAGCATTCCTGTCTTCTCTTCTCCCCTTCTCTCTCCCGCTAACACACATATATATATATATATATATATATATATATATATATATATATATATATATATATATATATATATATATATACCATATATATATATATATATATATATATATATATATATATATATACTATATAAATATATATATATATATATATATATATATATATATATATGTATATATATATATATACAAAAACAACAAAAAAACAATACATACATACACATATACATAATACATAATAATATTAATAACATACATATATATTATTATATACATACATACATACATATACATATTACACTCATATATTATATTACATATATATATACAAATAATACATAATACATAATATAATACAACATATACATATAATTACATATTACATATTATTACATATATATACTATTATTCATACACAATATTATTATTATTAATATTACATATTATATTACATGTACACTCTATATATACACATACATATTATATATATATATATATATATATATAATATATACATATATATATATATTATATATATATATATATATATATATATATATATATATATATATATATATATATACTCTATATATATATATATATATATATATATATATATATATATTATACCTATATATATATATATATATAATAAGGGTGTGTCAATCTAAGATATACATATATATATATATTATATATATATATGTATACCTATATATATATATATACATATATATATATATATATACTCTATATATATATATATATATATATATTATATATATACATATTAGTACCTATATATATATATATATATACTAAGGGTGTGTCATAATTTAGGAGGCGAATTTTTTTTTTTAGTTTGAAAAAATCGTGTATTAATGATAAGTTCTATGTGCAGAATCCATGTGATATCTTCAGATTTGAAAAGTTTTCATTTTTGCCAGGTAAATTTTAACTTGAAATCTTATGAAATTCAGTATTCCC